TCTTCTAACTCATCTAGATGGTTAGAAGAGTCCTTGAGGGTTCTGGAAATACCTTCAAAACAGACGTTAAGTGTTGTTAAACAACTTTCTGTATTTTTCAGTGGTCACTGGGTATTTATTTTTCTGAAAAACAGATGTTAATTGTAGCTCTGTGAATCATATGGTTATAAATGGGTGGTACACACTGGAGTCTTGTACCTCAATAATTACAAGATGGTCTTGTATTGGCTGATAGGTAACCAGTTAAATACATAGAGAAAATATTATAGAAATAGATGGCTGTCAAGATTTTTGAGATACAAGATACAAAAACCTAACCCCGACTTTAATAGCTTGCTTTTGCTGCAAAAAAAACTGTATAACAAGTAATAAACAGAAAAGGAAATTTGTTGTTTTAGCTGTAGAAGCTCCTAAAGTCTGTGACAATGTCGTGTTTGAAGCTACATGCAGCCTCACTAACGAGCCCCAGACTGAATCCTCCAGAAACCTTCTCCCTTTTGTTGCCCTGACACAAACACAATCACAAGTTTGGTGAGAATTCACAGATTAGTACTGTAGCAGTACAATCTGCCCTGGAGAGAAACAAGCTTCCACCCTCCACACAGACTCAGAAAGCCAATTCTGCATTGAATCCTCTCACACAAAAGATCATGCTAATGAGACAAATGCTTTTGAATTTGAAATTGAAAAAAAATCTCACTTCATTTAAGTTGAAAATGCTGCTTGAGCATTTTTAAAGTACCATTAAGCAGAGTGGGACCAAACCTGTAATCCACATTTGTGATGCATGAGAAACTCCTTAAATAGCATCACTCTCTAAATATGCAATAACACTCTGAATATAATAAAACACAATGGTCGCCAGACGACGATGATAATATATTTTGGAATGCCTTGACTTTTAATCTAGTGCCGCCATGAGATTCACTTTTGTGGTTTTTGAGTGAAATGTCTCGAAACCGCTAAACTAAGATTGTGAGCACTATACCTACTTAGCATTTTGTTATTTATTTATTGTTTATTTTTATTTAGCATGCTGATGACATTAGCATTTAGCTTAAAGCACCACTGTGAATAAGTACAACCTCACAGAGCTGCTAGCATGGGAGTAGACTCTTATAGTTTTTCTGTTGCTGTGGTGTGAGTAACACTGCTGTCACTACTGACATTCTCATAAAACAGTTGTGTTTTGGTGTCAAAATGACACTGTTCAAATGCTGCCTCACAGGCTTTTTCACTCTGCAAAGACAGACATACATTCGGGGCACAACAATAAATACTTCAGTACAATACTGCCGTCAAAACAGAATCACTTAAAGTTACTGAATAATGTACAAAATGCAATTCATCCACAGTACAAAAATATCAGTTCCCAGCCTTCAAAAACCCACATTTGGCGAAACCGAAGGCATTAGCACGTTTGGCTTGGCTGACACTTCAAGAATGATCTGACAATGGCTGTCCAGTGTGACAGTATCAACATTACCTGGCCATCTGTTTCTCAGCATCACAGTCCCCCCAGTCCAACACTCTGAGTGCCAAAAACCTACTGCTCTGACGTCAACACACGCACGTACTGTACGGATTTATAACATAGATTTTATATCACACATTCATGAATCATATGATTTACGGGAAGGACGTATTATTGAACACAAGTCCTTTTAGTAAAAGCAGAGAGTATTTATGTAAGTCTGAATCTTGAGGGAAGATATTTACAAAGTGAAACAGATTAGGAGTCAAATGTTTGTCAAGCACAGGATCATAAAAACTGATTTATTCTTTTATTGTTTCCAAAGCAATGGGAGTTTCACTTGAGAGCTGATCAAATGAGTTATCTGTTGTCTGAGACGTGTGGGATCTGTGGTGTGAGAACAGCTATTTTCTTTCATCTTCCACACAGCAGAAGATGGATGGCTGATGACCAGCACCTCAGGCATTTCGATTGGCCCATTGCACAGGCCAGCATGTGTTCACTTACTGCATTGCTCTAAAAAAACATTTTCCTTTTCAGTAGTCTCCTTGACCCAGAAACACACACACACACACACACACACACACACACACACACACACACACACACACACACACACACTACCAAACAGCTCTGGTCTTATTATCTTCTGTGGAGATTTTAGCAGCAGTGCAAATTCAAGTGGAGGGGTTAGAGCAAGTTTAGACTTTAAAATCCACCCCCCTTTTTTGCACAATCATTTCATAATTTGGGTTGAGAAGAAGGGTTATGACTCCTTCTCATCAGCCTTTATGAATAAAGCAGCCACACATCAATGAACTGCTCTTGGTAAATTAACCATAGTGAGCTTTTATCATAGCCCCGTTTCAGGTGCTGCGACTACACCTAACAGGACTTGAGGTGAGCTGAGACTGAGGGAATGTCTGGTATAAGTGCTGATATGAGCTTTGATGTTCACTACTCCACATTCCCCAGCTTGTGCTGGAGGTGCTGTCCCATATTAGCCCATCCTGCCTGTGATCTGACAGAGAGAGGGAGAGCTCGCTGCGTGGATGCATTATTCATTACTGAGCCTGACTCAAAGCATCTTCTGTATTCAGAGGAACTCTACTCCCAGTAGGAAAAAATAATATTTCGGTTCCATATGAACTTTGTGTGTACCACCATATTATAACGTCCGCACTTTTCTCCGAGAATTATGGTGTCATTTTTGAGGGGGAATGTACTATTTATTGATAATCTCATTTCATGTTTAAATGTGTTTAAATTATTATTATTTGTGTCACTGTTATCATTTATATTTTTCCTGCCTTATTGTAAATTATGCAATTTGTAAAGCTTTGAATTGCCACTTTATATGAAAATTGCTGTATTTCAAAATGACCTTACCTTAATGAATATATTGTATAATGATACATTATATGATACAGAAAGCTCCAGAATAGCTACTAAATGGACCTTGTATTAAGATCGTTTTGTCAACTTTTATTTTGTAAACTTTTATTTCCAAGGTCAAAAAATTACTTTCAATCCAAACATTCAAGCCATTATGGAGGAAAAGTCCTTTTAGAGCTCTAAAAAATCACAACTCCATCTGCTGAGGGAGATGTGATACAACTGAAAGCTCCAAAACAGCTACTAAATAGACCTTGTGGTGAGGTTTGCCAATTTGTTAATTTGCCTTATCATTGTGGTGTTCACTTTTTTCTTTTTTCCCCTAAAACCTTTTAAAAACTCTCTTTTAATTAAAAGAACCCAGCAGCAATAAGTGAAATAATTGTTTTCATCATTCTGAAAATAAGTCTTGTGTGCTTTTCATCAAATAAATTAATAAACAAATAAACCAACAACACAATCACAAAGCAAAAACTCCCATGGAAAAAGAATCTCTAACATACCTGCCAATTAGGAGGAACTCTCCAGCTACTCCGAGCCGTCTCATGGCCATGAGCAACCCTCTGACTGTCATGCCTTCACAGAAGCAGACAACAACACGGGCTTTCGGCAGACGCTCCCGCAGCTTCCGCAGCAGCCTGTCAAAGTGCTTCTCCCCGGCATTGCTGTAGATCTTGTCAGAGTGGGCGATGCAGAGGCCGCTCTGTGAGGCGAGCTCTTTAAACACTTCCATGCCACTCTCCCCGTAGTTACCTGAGGAAGACAAGAGGAGCTGTTAGGTGAGTTTCATTCACAGGAGGAAATGGACATTGGAAATGGATTCAGTATTCCAGACTGTTTAAATGTTGAACATGAGTTTGTTTTTTTTTTCACAAAAATTATTCAAGGATCAGGTTTGCTGAGAAAATTCATCTCCTCCCTAAGAATTTAAGTGGCCTGCAACGTCCCCAAACCTCAAGAGCAGAACAACTAGAGCAAACGGGGTTAAGGTGATCTCAGCAGCAGTATCTGAGGACAAAGCTAGCACTTGTCACTTTTAGGTTTTTGTTTAGGACCAGCAACAACAAACCCAAGAAATTATTTAAAGCTTCAGTATTTACGCTGAAATCTGTCTGCTTCTGAGACCCATGAATCATTTTATTGCCAAAATGACATACAAATCTTCAGCACAGTAAACAAATAAAGCTTGCCAGGTTTTGATTGGATTTTTATCAGCTCATCACAAACTCAAATTCTCTCAGTGAAAATATAGATGAGATTGCAGCAGCTTCTTTATGGGTTTTTCAGGTATGTTTATCACATCTTGCAACACTGTGGGTGGAATCTTATTATCTTAATAATTAATTCAATCTGTGTTATCCTTGATTACAAAATTCAGTTTTCAGTATATTGTCTGTTGATGTTACAAAAGATTTGTTAAAGTAATGATGAAGTGACACTGCAGCGTCAGTCAGCCTTTTCTGATAATTAACTACAAAATAGAACAAAATAGATCTTTTAATGGTGATCAAATGCAGGTTGCACTATGGGCTGGAACTAGTGATCATTTTCATTGTCATGTTTTTTTGATTAATTGATGAATCAGATTGTCTTCACATCAGAAAACAACAGATGATGTCCATCATAATTTCCCAAGACTCGGGATAACATCTTCAAATTGCTTGCTTTTTCAGACTAAGTTTCCCAAAACTGTTAATTATCATATAAAACTGAAAAAAACAGCAAATCCTTAAATGTGAGGAGCTAAAAACCTTTTTGCTTGAGAAATTACTCAAACAGTTATTCGATTATCAAAATAGTTGCCAGTGAATTTTCAGCCGATCGACTAATCGATTAATCAACATAATTTTTCAGCTACAAATTAAGACTCCTTATGTCAATACTTAAGATTTACTTTAAATTTTGTTGTTTTTGTTATATGCGATTAGTCTTCATGAACTTCATGTTGCATAAAAACCCTAAATATCTTCTGTGGTTCTGGAGGAGCAGGAAAGGTCTAATGAAATGTGTTACCGAGCTGCATCGTGGAAAATGTATGATCCAGTGTTTTTGGAGCTTCATCCATACAAGGGCCTGAAGGTTTGATTATCTCTCCTTTTGTCAATGTTGACAAATCTCTTTTTAATCCGTCACTTGTGAGTCCCCTAACTCAATGTAAGTGCAGTATTAAATCACAAGGGTACCCCTTTAAGAGAAATGTGTCTTACCCTCTGTGTGCACTGCAGACACATAGGTCCAGTTGTATAGCTTAACGATGTCCAAGAGGGCCCGGGCCTGAAGAGTGTCTGAGGGCACAACCCTGAGGAAGTACTTAAATAAGGTCTTGTCACTGAGGTCAATACTGGTTGCAGAATAGGCAATCTGGGGGATGTTAAACAGCTGCAGAAGGTTTTGAACTTGAATTGCAACTGAGCTCGAGCCAGGCCCGATGACCCCTGCGATGGGCTTCTTGGTCGGTGGCGGCTGACTGGAAGGTGCCCCTTCAATGCACCACCTGGAGCCGTCCTTTTCATCCCGGATGGAGATGAGAGAGTCTCGTATGAACTCAATGCTCTGCTCCAGAGCCACAGAGGAATGCCAGCAGGAGTCCCTGATCTCACAGCCCAGGGTGATGTTGGGTAACAGGTTAGGGTCTGAGTTAATCCGATCCAAGGCATGGAACATGGCTTCCACTCTTTGGATGCCGTACTGTTCACGGACTTCTCCACATTTCCTCTCTGCCACCTTCTCAGCTGATGGTTGGTGGTGAACAGAGAAGAGGGCACCGATTATAATATCCCCGTCCATCCTCGCCACCAGGCGAGAGGCAGAACTCGGCACCACTGACCTCTCATACTTGCCTTTAGACAACACATAGGCCTCAAACAGTAAAACAGGCAAGTACAAAATGCTTATGGCAGTCAGGTAAATCATATTCGACATTGTGCCACAGCTGCTGAATGTAGAATCATGTCCACTTGCCCATAATGGAGGTCCATCAATCCACTTTCTGATAAAATGGGAATGAACTAAGCTTCCTCTCCTTCAGTGTTGTCACCCTATAAGTGAGACATGGAGCATTAATTCCTGTTTTTCACACATACAACTGAAACTGCATTGATTAGTCAGTTAATATGTGCAGCTATTTTGATAATCAATTATCATTTGAGACATTTCTTAAGCATAAATATTTAGAATATTTAATTATTTGATGCTTTTCTTTGTCTTCTATGATATTAAACTGAATAACTTTGTGTTTTGGACTGTGGGTTGGACAAAACAAGTCATCTGAATCATAAAATTCAGATCTGGTAAATTGTAATGGTCAGTTTCTCCCTTTCCTCTGACATTTTACTAAACCAAATCGAAAAAAGCGTAAGGTAACACTTCCCTCATCTTTGATGGCAAATCATGCAAAGGAGTGTTAAAACAGACAGAAAATTTGCATCGAAAACATGTAAAAAAGGCAAAGTTATTGGAGTCCTGTTGCAATAAAGCATCCAATGCCATGGAGGATGGAACCTAAATTAATTGATACCAACAGTGATTATATATGACAAGCATTAAAGACACTAAATGCTTGATATGAGAGATAAAATAAAGTCTACATAATAAGGAAACCTTTCGAGTTTCAGCACCTCGGACAGCTGCCCCTGCGTCCGTTCATTTAATCTGATCCATTTCAACAATGCGACTGTTTCTTCAACTTTTACCCCTGAACGCGTCACATAAAGATGATGGGGTGTGCTCTATTTGAATCATCATTTTTACCGACAGGTGACTCTAGCAGCTTGACAACCGGTGTCATTTACAGGATAACATTTTCAATGTCGTCACCTAAGTGCGCATGCATCCCAATTAAAGGGTGAAGCTTAATTAATAGATCAGACTAAAGCATGTTAAGGAAACGCTCACATATTAAGTGGAGTGTCTGCAGAGCATCAAGTCTAGTTATCTGGCAGTACTTTACCTACCTGCACCAGGCAGTTCGGGGCATAGCGGGTCTGTGTCTCTTCTGAAGCAGCCAGACTGGACTCATCTGCCGAGAAAACACTGTGGGACTCTCTCTCTCTCTCTCTCTCTCTCTCTCTCTCTCGCTCCCCCTCTCTCCCTGCACTGCTCATGAGGTGCCCCTGTATTCTCTTCTTCCTCACTGCATCTTGTAAGCGGGTCACACTCACTGCAGTGCCCCTGATTTGAAGCCACAGTTCCTGCACTCTTACAGGAGGATGTTTCACACACTGTAACATCGATTGATGGCATTTTTTATAGAGAGAATGTTCAGTCGCACATGGGGGAAATGTAGGCGTTTCATGAAAGATGCTGACCTGAAAAGCCAAGATAACTACGTGAAGGAGTAGGGTTGTTTATTCTCCTAATGGAAACTGTAAAAATACTGATCAAACTTTCCATAATTAGTCCTGCTGCGTCGTCCCTGTCAGCGACAGATGTGATGTACCTGCAGCAACTGTAGACGTGAAATGATCGTGCTCTGCGGCCACCGTGTGGCAGTTATCTGGTACTGCGATTGCGACATAATTTTTTAAATGAAACTTTATTCAACAGTTTAAATCAATACTGTGGGTAGTACACAAAATAAGGGATAGATTCAGAATCACTGATAGATTTCATCCAGGTGGAGAGACTTTTGTGTTTCTTCTTTTCTAGTCGTGTTTAGTCACATCACAATGTTGGCTAAGCCTGTATAATGGGTTGAGTCATGGTTTCACTTACTCAGGATTATATTTTAAACAGTTAATCTTTCTAAAGAAATATTTGGTTAATATTATTGTCATTATGGGCAAAAATGATATTCATTAATGCAGATATGATTACCAGACTCACTGTTAAAAGTCCCATGTGGAAAACATGTCAAGCAAACCGAAGGTCAAAAGCGAGAAATGCCACCACAATTACTCAGAGCCCGTAATGAAACCTTCACAATGCTTGTTTTATACAAACAACAGTATAATCCTCAACACTCTTAACAAAACATTAAAATGATTAAACTTATTAAACGAAAAAGCAACTTTCTTTTAATCATCAAATTCCCTGTTGTCCCCACCTTCTGTCCCCCTTCTCTTGCAGGTGTTGTCCTTTCTCTGTACTGGCTGTTTGTGCCCCCCCCCATCGCCAAGTCTGCCCCCCTGTCCGGCCCAGTGAAAAATCAATACATAATTAAATAAATAATAAAACAGAAAAAAAGAAAAAAGAAAAAGCAACTAATCTTCACATTTGTAATGCTGGAACCTCAAAATAATTGGATTAGTCATTTTCTGTCTATCTATGAACTAATTGTTTCAGCTGTTTTTGTATAAACTATTTGTTAAACTGTAGTTTTATTTATAACCAAACATATTTTTCTCATATCTTTTGTGTGTAAAAACATGTAATAAGTATAGCTGTCAGACAAATGTAGTGAAGCAAAATCTACAACATTTCGCTCTGAGATGTAAAAGAAGAAAGTGGCATGAAAAACCACTCAGGTATCTTAAATTTGTACTTGAGTAAATGTACTAGTTACAGTCCACCACTAATCACAGGTGATACATTTCTCACCCCATTGCATTTTGCAAAAGGTGGGATGGTCCTCTTTACAAATAGAAGGAAGCAGCATTGTATGTTGTTGTTGATCTACTGCAAAACTGCCCAAAAACTCTCTGGTTACATTTAAAAACAGAACTCACAATGTCACATCACAGGACATTTTAACATTAGCTGCAGGCTACCTCTTGGTCACACTCAACCATAGTTTTCATCATGCTTGTAAATGTTTTTTTTAATTGTGAAAATGTACAATGTGAATCTGTGAATTATCTGTGTGTCAGTCTACTTAAATTTTACATTTTTGTACTGAGGCCTCTCTTGAAAAAGAGATCTCAGTGAGAGTACCTGTTTAAATAAGGTATTAATAATATTTTTATTTATGATTACTGTAGCCTTTGTGGTTTCTGTAGCCTTGCCTTTTCTCTAGAATAGAACAGATTTCTCTCTATATATGTATACTTATTATTATTATTATTATTATTATTATTATTATTATTATTATTATTATTATTAATGGTGGCAATAGTAGTAAAAGTAATAGCAAAATTAGGCTATTTATTTATATATTATACAAAGATCATTAAGTAGGTTAAAAGCAAAACGACATGTGTCCAGAAAAATACATACATTCAAAATATGGCATGGTTGACATTTACTACTGGTTTTACTCATAGTTACAAATTGACTCAGTAAAAAGAGAAGAATTTGGCCCTTTAGTAGCAGTGGCTGAATCCCGCGTTGTCCAAACATATGCTGCTGTTCTGACGTCACTTCCTGTATTTAAAAATGGCGAACAGCTACATTGAAGTCTGTAAATGAAGTGTGTTTTGGTGCATGTCAACCTGAATATCTGGAGCTGCTGGGAAGTGAAACGCCATCTGATGCAGCGATAGAAACCAGCACCGGTTGCGTGGGAGGCTGATAAAAAGTAAATGTGCTTGTTTTTAATCGCTTGTTTACAGTCAAACGATCAAATACGCGGCCACACAGCCTGGAAGTGTTTCATCGTGTAACAGTGTTCATACATTGTAGCTCCTGCTGCCCGTTTCCTCGGACAAAACATTAATTGAAAGGAAGGATTTTTTTTGTAACAGTAACTTGTTAGCCAATACTAACACTAAAGAGCTAACTTGGCTTGCAGCTGATTTAATGTGAGCCTTGGTAAATGTGATAAATACAGAGGATGCTGTTCACTGTGTGGGAAATGTGAAGTGACAGAAGTTAGCTGTGTTCAGCCTTGTGCTAACTTGAACGTCTGCTGTGAGACAGTATTTCTGATGGCTTTAAGTGTATAAGCAGTGACATCAGCTAGTTTTAAGTAGTTTTTATTGCCTTGAGGGATAACACTAGCTACCTGAACTAGCCTATGATAAACAAGATGACTGTGGTGGATCTGGCCAAAAGGTCAATTGATCCCCCCCGCCATCCCGATATCTGCTAATTGCAGATAAATCAGTATCAATGTTTATAACAGCCGATAAATGACAATTAAAATAGAAACAGAGAGATGGATGATGGATCCTTCAGTCATTTTATGAGTGTTGTTGTTGCATAGTTTTCCCACCAGAGGGCACTCTGCGCTTCCCCCCTGTTGGCAACACCTGTTTGGAACATAACACAGAAATGAGGTGTATTTTTGTTCAAAGTGCTATTTATAACAATGAAAAAAGATTATTTTTAAACCGCATTATTACATGTTATATTTGTGAGGTCTCATCACTAAACATAACAAAATGTTAGGGATAATCTTTGTTTATGTTATGTGTTTCTGAAAAGAAGAAAAAAAGAATATTGGCTAATGTATTGGAATATTGGAATATTTAAAGTCATCAATTATCAAATTCATATCTGTCTTAAATATCCCATATTGGTTGGGCTCTATTAGATATTGCTTGATTTTTACTGTATATATATGTATGAAATGTTGGTGTTGATGTGTTAAAACAATGTAGAAATACATTATAGTTTGAAATGTAAAAGCTGTCATTAGTTTGGTGTTAAAAAGGAACTCACTTTGTCTGCCAAATGTAAATATTTGTTTTATACAGTATTCTACTGAATTTAAAGTGTTAAAGTAAGTAAAGTATTATTTTTATAATCAACACTTCATTTGCTTTCCGTGTAGAGGTTAACCATGAGTAGCCGCAGAAAGAGAGCCCCTCCTGTGAGGGTGGACGAAGACGACAAGAAGAGGTTGAACTGGAATATGTTGGAGGACCGCAAGAACGAGGTGAACCAGAAGGATGACCATACACCAACCTGCTCCATTCTTCCTGTTGACCCTATTCCCAGCAGCTCCTTTCTCTTGACCACAGAGGACGTCACGGAGACTGCCTGTACCAGCTCAGTCCGGCTTACAGAGGAACTCCCTGGTACGTCATCAGAGAACACCACTGCCTCCCTGGCCCTCACTGTGGAGCCAGCTTTGAAGCAGGCCCCAATCTGGAAGGCGCTCATTGGGGAGTTCAGTGTCCGGCCGACTTGGATCCCATCTGACTGTGAACAGAGAGCTTTCACGCTCCACAGGATGGGTGACCAGCTCTGCCTCAGTTACTGCAGCTATGCTGAGAGTTCAGAACTGCAGTGGAGGCCGGACGAGGACACTTGCACAGTGGAGTGTGGCTTCAGTGTGATGCCGCTGGAGGACCTCGACTGGATGCAGAAGAGGAGGGTTGTGCAGCTCTGCCACCAGGCAAAAGAGGGGTCAGTCAAGGTATGAAGGCATGTCAGAGAGGAGCGAATGAAAAATACTCTGTCAATAATAATTTTACTTTCTTCAATGTTTAGTTTCATCTTCAGATAGCTGGATAAACTGATGTGAGTGCAAGATGTAACCATACCAATAATACAAAACAAGGCTGCATATTTACATGTACTACATTGTCATAGTTTGAGTTTGGTATCATTTGCCTGAAATTCATTATCTAATTTAAAAACATTAACTTAATTTCAGCCTTTATCTAAAGAAAACAAGGAAAATATTATATTGAATATTACCTTGTTTTCAATGTATGAACACTTGCTTTTAAAATAAGACTGCACTTGTGACATACTGTGGTGTGTTAATGAAGTATCGGCAGGCTTTGTTGTTTTTTTGGGGGGGGGGGCATTTTATCCCTTTATTAGAGAACTGACAGTAGATAACTCACAGGAAATGAGGAGAGAGAAAGATATGAAAATCACTGACTTACTGTCATCCACTTTTCACAACCACAAGGTCATATTCTTTGGTTGGATTGAAAACCCGCTTTCCTGCTCTTTAGGTCGGGATGACGAACAGTCAAAGTTCAGTGGTTCACAGTGTTAAAAAAAATGGTTTGTCTGCATCTGGCAGGTGGGGATTTACTTGCTGGAAACTGGGCTCGGGAAGCCCGAGTTCCTCAGCGAGGGAAATGCTCGGCTGAAGAAAGCAAATCAACTAATGCAGAAGTTAATGGAGTATTTCTACGATTTCATTATCCCCGGTAAGTGTTTGGTTGTAATGTCTAAATAATGCTGTGATCCAAGTTCTCAAATACCATGACAGCCTCACCATTATTAAATCAAGTATAACTCTTCATCATAG